CTTTCCTTGTCTTTGGATCTTTCATGTTCCCGTTTCATCTCTTTTTCCCTTTCCCTTATTCTCTCTCTTTCTCTTTCCATTTCTCTCTTCCTTTCTCTCTCTGCCTCCTCCTTTTTTTTCTCTCTTGCTCTTTCCTTCTCCTTTTCCCTTTCTCTCTCCGACTCCCTCTCCTTTTCTCTTTCCTTTCCTCCGGACTTACCCTTGTTCTTTTGGTCCGATCCGTTTAGGTCCGGTCTTTTTCGGTTGCCAGCTCTGATTTCTCTCCCCTTATTCTTCCTTTGTCTGTCCCCTTTTGCTTCTCTCTTGTTGTTCTACCGCGGTCCTGCCTTTTCATACGGGGATGAGTCATTCCACACTCCCCTTGGGAGACGACGGAAGCCGTTGGTTGGGGAGGTCTCCCCCACCGGCACAAAGCCTGAGAACGACGAATCCGGGGGTGGTTGACGTGGGCCTGGATTTTTTAATGGATCAATCTCTTTGGCTGGCCCAGTGTCGTCAGTTTGAACGTGATAAAAGGAGCGACAAACATTACACCAAGGGGTGTTTGCCGACAAGATTTCGAAATAATAATCTCCTTGATTTGGAATACCTACCGCTAGCCTAGTATGTATGAATTCTCGGTTGAGCAGTAGGATCCAGGTCAAAACGGACACTCCCTAACTCTGGTTCTTCGTCGTCCTGCTCCGTGGGATATGACTTCAGGACTTGGCTGAAAGTATCTACAACTGCCACTCTTAAAGTGGACATCATTTGCAAGGGGACTCTCGGACATCGAACCCAAACCACTTGGAGCCCCTGTCCTCGCAGTGGATTTTATCTTTTTTTTTTGTGAGCATCCATTGAATGATCGAACTCTCCGAAGAGACAAAAAAGAACTAGATTATTCCCTTCACTTTGATACCTTCCCCTCGTCACTGATTTTTCTATAATCCCGGCATCATACCATGCGTTCTCATAAACCCTCACCAGTTTCTTTTTCATCGAATTGGACAGGGTTGTAGCTTCATTTTCAAACATGATCGTTACAGCATGTTCTTTCAGCCACTAGATGTTCAATTCCGAGTATTCTTCATTCAAGTCAAATCGCGAAATATCGTCGCTCAATTGGGCAACCCCTATTTCGAGACCAGCCGGGAAGATCCCGTCCTTGAAACATGTATCAAGGAGGTTGCCTATCTGTTTTTTTTGGTGCTGCGTATAGACCCGTTTAACCATCGCTGACTCATCCATTGGTTTGTCTATCTGTCCTCCCCCTCTAACCGACCACTCATCACCGAATCAAAATCTTGTCAGAGGCAACGATCTCACTGGAATAAATACTTTGATAATTACCAGACTTATGAAAAGGAGGGGGGGGGGGGGGGGGGG